GTTTAAAAAGCCAAAAAGGTTAAAAAGCTATATAAAAACATGAACGATTTCGTAAGAGCTTGTTTACCTGGATTCATGGAGCTGTTGGATTTCTTGGCTGTTTTTTCTGGCCCTGATCTTTTTCTTGTCTTAGCCATGTTCAACAGCGATACAGTTCGAATGTTTTTGTCCTTCAATTACGACGTAAAAGGCGGAATATAACACGGAATCTCAGCTGGATAGAACCTCACTTCGTCTGCCATGTTGCCCACGTGCGAACTGGAAACTAACATTTTCGGTTGGTATGTCTGGAGTGGGGTAAGTCAATCATTAGTTATTTTTGTTGGCTGTGGAAATCTGGGTACAAGTTAGCTGCCCCCTCGGGGGAGGCCCTAGCCTGGCCTTCCTATCCTACTCTCTAAACGGCGTTTACTAGTATTACCAGCAGATTTTTTCGCAGATAAAAAGTTATGCAGACAGGAATTCTTCTTTCGTCTTATCTTCCCCAGTATTATGAATCTCATACCCAGAACTCTCTCTTTCGTGACGTGAACAAAATCAATCTCTTTGTTCATCACATCTCTTTTTTGTGTACGGCTCCAGCCATAGGATAAGCTCCTAGAACATAACGAAAAAATGCATGTGTTTACCATTTCAAAGGAAAGATAACCGAAGGTCCTGAAAACATTTTCGGAAGCCAATAAGAGAAAAAACGGGATCCCAGGCACAACGTGTTCATGTGGCACAACAGCCGTTTGTAGACCTTTCCCGCATTCCATTTCAATTCAGTGCGTGCGAACAATAGAACCAGAGGGAGGTTGAGGTGGACATTTTCATACATTTATGGTATTTTTGTCCACCCTGACCTCGACTCGGTGCTATTGTTTGCTGGAATGCGGGAAAGGTCTATTAGGGACGACTGAACCATTTTAATTTTTTAATTTTTTTTTAAATTAACCAGTCACATTGCTTTGCAATCAGCTCGGATGGTTAGGAAATTAGTGTTGTGCCATGTGAACTTTCTCGGAGTCAGGTAGCCTGCGAACGCAGACGTATTTCCGGCTGACGCTTGTCTCCGCCGAAAAATAACGTCTACGAAACCGAGCCAGGAAACGATTTCTGTAATGTAATGACTTTTGTTTCTCTTTGGCCAATCAGATTCCACGATACAATGAAACTCGAGTGCTCCTCGCGGCGAATACCTCGCGCAGTAGTTCTGGGGTTACTTGAGCTAAACTGTGATTGGCTTAAAATTCCTACGTCACAGAAATCGTTTCCTGGTTCTGGCTCGCAGAGGTTATTTTCGGCGGAGACAAGCGACAGCCGGAAATACGTCTGCGTTCGCAGGCTGCGAGTCAGGTTGTCACAATGTGGAATGCCAGTTATCATTTTGTTCTTTCGTTTCAAACTGGTCACCGCTATCATATGACTGTCACTGCGCAGATTGATAGAATATGCACTGTGTTTGAATGGTCTGGTTTCTAGTTTCTGACTTTGTCAGCTTAAAAGTTTCGTCTTGTTGTGTTGTCGGCAATTTCTTGTGAAATTGTGCTAGGGAAAATCAGTTAAACATGGGCACAACAGCCATTTTGTGGTGTTTTCTTGTGTTCTTGGTGGTATTTGGAATTGAGCCAGGAATGACTCAGAAACCAGCTGAGGGAAAGAAATCAAAAGCCAATAATTTTTCGGACCAGGTTAGAGTTTAAAAATTTCCTTTTTACGTTTTTGTATAATGCAAAAACAGATTTAAACAGATTTGGTTTCAATGTCTCAGTAATCGAAAGCGCCCGGCGAAAGCGTTGTTGCTAGCCAAGTTCTACTTTCGCACGCAACTGAGTGCGTTCATGATTATAAAATTAAAGAAAATGTTTTGAATTTGTTTTTATCTTTCTGTATTGACCCTATGATGTTTTATTGCGGAGATCAAACAATGCTTTCGAAGCAGAGACTTTTAATGCACGTTTCACAGGTTAAGACAAACAAGCATGAACTCGTTTCTACTGCGTGCAGGAATTCGGTTTAAGGAAATTTAATGGAGGTCATCCTTTCTGACCTTTTAGTTCGTGTAACAGATGGTCAACTGATGCTAACGCTTTGTTACGGGAGGGATAGAGATAGGATCAAAAGAGTATATTCAGTCAGAGATGTTACTGATGTACATGTAGTCTGGAAATGAAAGGAAAATTTTACCCCTATAATCATCATCAAGTTTGCTTTTAACTGAGTTTGCGTTGTCCCTCCCCCCCCCCCCCCCCAAATAAAAAATAATAAAATAAAATAAAGCATTTGTTACACATAATCAAGGCCACATAATCACGCACAATGTTAAAAAGAGAACCCAGCCGGAATGGAATACTATTCAAAATACCTTCATTNCCCCCCCAAAAAAAAATAATCGAAATCCTCACTGGGTTATTCTGGAAGTTAGTACTTTTAATTAAAAATACGCATTTAAAATAATCGCAAAAGGGGAAACGAAGATAAAACGGATTGTACGGGAATTAAGTCACGCGAAAGTTTTATGTTAGGTCGAATAACTCTGTTAGATTATTTCAATCTGCTTTTTTGCAGACATGCCCTTGCTCCTGTAGTAATGGTCAAAATGGACACAACGGGACCCCCGGAAGGGACGGAAGAGACGGTAAAGATGGCAAAGATGGTGCTAAGGTCGAGTATTATTTTTGATAAAAAAAAAAAGGCATAAAAATCTCCCTGCTTGTATTTCCGACCAGTCTCAATTTCTATGTCACATTTCATTTATGTTTTTATTTACGCAAATCCAATCTCCTGAAAGTTAGTTTAAAAACGTCTCACTACCCGGGGGTGGGGAAGGACTGAGTAATGGCAGCAAATATTTCATGGAATACTTGTTAATCGTTCAGGCTTCCTCTTCTTTGCATTCGGTGATGCCCTAGGTTTTTTTCTTGATTCGTTTATTCAGACGTCCGCTCAGCTATTCTCTTCTATCTGCCATGTTTTCTAGCTTTGATGGTCTCGTTAATTCATTCATTTGTTAATTTATTCTGATTTCTATGATTCAGGGCCAGCGTGGACCACAGGGTTATGCTGGGAAAGCGGTATGTCTTTCAGTCACGTGACCTCTGTGAGTTGTGACACTAGTCTTGATTGACGTACGAGCTCCCGTAGTTCAAAAACAAACAACAACGACAGCAACTACGTTAACCTTTACGTGCGTTCTCCCCTTCCATTTTTTGCTCGCGCCCTATCCAGGATTTCGTATCAGTACCCGGAGCCCACTCTCCCGCTTTCCACCCGTCCTCAAGGAATGAGATTGTTTCAGCCCCTCCCCACTCCAAATCCCATTCTTTTTCTTCTCTCTAGTCCTGTTGTCACGTAAGTTGGGCCATTATCGTTACCTGACACCACCTGTCTTCGGCTACACTGGAATCAGTTCTGTCAAAATTCTACAATAGGTTTCTGGATTTTCCAACCAAAGTCCTTTCTTTTTATCTAGGGGCAAAAGGGAGAACCTGGTCCACCGGGACAGACACCACAAGGTGCTATCAAATTTAGCGACACCGCTGACAAGTGCACATTGAGTACCGCTGGAACTGTTCGTTACAGCAGTTCCCAGAATTCATTGCTACTCTGTGATGGCAGTGCTTGGTTACCGGTGTTGACTGCTGGGAAGGGTCACGTGGCTTATAGCCCAGGCCGTCACTGTCTGGATATTTTAACTTTAGGTGAATTTTGAATGCGGCAGATCAGTGTGTTTGAATAGTATACTTGAGTGCTAGATACTGCTTTTTTTAGCTGTCTATCACTGTGTATTATTAATATGGCTTGTGTTTGCAGCCGATATAATGATTGGCTACGTCTAGAGCATTATTCTCCCGTAATGCCCACGGGCCGATTACGGGCCTGCAAAAACAAAGCAAAAAGCCACTGATAGTAAACAACTTATTAACCTTGAACTTTCGGTCTTTACGGGAAAACCTCAAACATCGGCCTTGCCGTACGGCCAGGTCTCGGCTATTTTCCCGTAAAGACTTCACTCTCGGTCAATAAGTAGTTATTAGGTTCACATTCGTCTGTAGCAAAGATATATTTCTGTTTTCTCAGGTCAGAGTCGTGGAAGTGGACTGTACTGGATCGATCCAAACGGTGGGTCAACAGATGACTCGTTCCAAGCTTTTTGCGACATGGAAACTGAGAGCGGAGGTTGGACCCTAGTCGCTACAAAGGTGTCTCCAGGGTTCCCCTTCATCAAAACTACATTTTCCGCAATGGCTGCGCAAACTAAATACGCAGATGCCGCGAGTCATATCCATCCCGACATAGGGGACTGGGAAGAAGTTATGTTCCGGTTTGCTGACGTCAACACTATCCGGGTTATTTACAACAGGAAAGCAGGCGCACCACAAAATGAGAAGAAAGAGTTCGAAGATTTCCTAATGGGGAAATCGTCCCAGTTGGAAAAGAACGTGTATGGATTTTATAAGTACGACCCTATAAACAATAACGGCAGGAGTCCCAGTGAAGGTTTTGTCACAATAACTAAACTGCACTTCTATTCAAACAACCAGGGGATTTCGGAGGCGCACACGGGCACTGATAAGTGGATTGACATGTGGAATAGTGCTGAGAGTTCAAACAATTACGTCACTTCTGACGACAACAAAGCGGTTGGTACCAAGTGTATCGCAGGCTACTGTTATCTTAACAAACCTATCTGGGTGATGGTGCGATAGAAACAAACTTAAGTTGGAGACTTAGCTTAGTGGAAACTCTGTCGACTTAATTAATTAAGGTTTAGATAATAGAACCAAATTATTTGCGATTGCTACTAAGATTCTGTACCGGTCCGAACAAAGGAAAGAGCTTTTGAAACATACAATCCTATGACAATTATTATTACCATGTCGGAGCTTCAAGTTATGTTAAGAAGTAGGTTTTTTTTATTTCAGAACTAACTATGTAACAATTTCTACCAAGATTTTTCGGTGGGATGAAACACCAGCCGGAGATCCGTTTTTTGTCGCAAGGGAACGCGTCCGAGGAACCGCATCTTTTACTGTTACTGTCAAGAATCGTCCTAGACTAGACTTCTCCCAATGTTAATACTTGTGATCTGCGACTTTGTTTAATTACAGTACAAAGAAAACTGTAAGACACTAATTCTCAAAAATAATTTTAATGTGCGTAATATCCATGACGCTGATGCGTACATTTGAAAAGTAGCGTTTCCGTCGCTGTAAACAAAAAACTGATCACTCTCGACAATGATATCAAACATAACTCACGCTATGAACCAGTCAGAAACCGAAGCATAAACACGCAACCAGGGGCAAGCGCGGGAAAACGCCGCCTCAGCCAATTCCTAACTGGCTGGAAAACTACGCCTTTGTTTCTGATTGGTTGGAGTATGTTGCATGTGTCTTTTTTTTGAACCAGTTTCAAAGATGACAACAAATATAAAACCAAAGCCAAAACCAAAACATAACTACTTTATGTACGGTTGCCACGGAGGCAATGATATGTCACACTAAAGCCGATTAGAGGCTTTCACTCGAACATTGAAATAATTTAACTCAGCGCGGGGACTTCCCGTCTCCCAATCAGAATGGGTTAATGCATGTGAATAGTGCGAATATACAAACAATATGATTTGGTTCAAGCAACCTAAGCACATAATTAAGAGAACACCAATGCTTTAATTTTCCCTGAAGTCTGCACTTCCAATGATGTCTGCTTCTTCTCTGACACTAGTACTCTCTGTTGGCATCTGTCTTTTCTCTTCAAAGAGAACACAGTAACATAGCTGTTTCAATTGACATGTTTTACTGGATGGAGTACACTAGGATCATCTTTGTCACCCTTACCGACACGAGAGGAAATCTGGGGCGAGTGGCAGCTCGCAGTCTCTTTTGGTACCGTTTTCTTGGGACAACGCAGTGAAGAGTCATATCGTCTCCAGAACCGGTCCCAGAAGGAGCCTCGAGTTGAAACTCAGCCCAGATTTCTTCTCGCTTTAAAAGTGGCGAATGCGACGGGTGGTGGCTTGTAAAGAACAGGCGACAGTTCAGAAGTTTTCAGAAGTTAGGGCACCCAACACTTCGGGTTTTCTATTGATTTACTTAACAATTAAAGAAGTTTGAACCATGTATTATACTGTCATAAGACACGGCCGAAATATTTATAAGTGTTCTCAAATTCCTGCAGTGCTTTATGGCAATATAATACATGGTTCACATTTCTTTGAATGATTAAGATTTAAAGCGCGTGAAAAAATTAAACACGCTTCTGCTTACTTTGATGAGAATCGTTTTCTCAACTTGGGATCGAGGAGTATCCCATACCCCATCCCTCCCCCCTTTCTCCACTCCTTACTAGCTGGCTTTTGTCTTCAAACTATTCACGGCTACAGAGTCTGTTCACAGACCAGAGGATCACTGACACTGCTATCGACGATAGTCATCATACACGTACAACAATTAACAGCAACAAGAAAATCTATGAAGTTGAGAGTAAAGACCTTTACCAGTGAGGTATATTAACCTAAGCCGAGACCTTCATAGCACAGAGCATCAAGTGCCACCCGAAAAAGAATTATATTGACCGTCACTGACCGGTAAGAAACCGCCAAAACTGGCAGCAATTAGACCTGATTATACTTCAAGCTACCTACCTTTGAAGGGTTTCTGCATAGGCAGCGTGCCGGTTAAGATTTTTTCAAGATCAGTTTCAGCCTTGACCTGGAAGTGGAAAATATGGACCAGTTCTAGGATTTAAATCTGCGCTATTATGAGTGGGAGTCTAGGTCAGACTGGTATTTATACGTGTGGCTTCCACGGAATGACTTGCGCCATCGTCGCTCCCTCCCCAGACCCCCATCCCCTCTCCTGAAGGCACAATTGAACTAGCTAGTGTATAGAAATTTCAGGCATGGCAGATCAATGTACCTGGGTAAAAGTGACCAAGAAAATTGTATACTCACATCATTGAAGGTCGCATCTGGCAGAGAATCTGGCAAAGGGAAGTGATCCTCCGGAGTTACTTGTGGTGTGACCGGCTGTACAGTTGGCTTTTAGGGTCAAAGAGATCATTAGTGTTCTTCTGAGTTTCTTGCATGCTATTATTCTATTTCATCGATAACTTTTTACTTGGAACATATTTTACTACTGAGAAATTGATTATTTTTAGTCTATTTAACAGTTATTCCACAAGCGCGCGTTGGATACGAGATGGTAGGTAGCCAACGAGACGATCAGCACCGAGTGGGCTGTGATCACTCCATATCCAACGGGTGGAAAAATTGTTTCATTAAAAACGTCCCCAAAATAAAGAAAACTAAATAAGATAATGATAAAAACGCTCTAAAAATTTCAAGTACGCTAACCATATTTGTAGAGCATAGTTTAATGGCTCATATACCATGATGGCTAAGCCAATGAAAATCCTTGAATTGCATTATCCTCTTACCCAGTTTGAAATGAAGAAGAACATATCACGTAGTATACCTACTCTTTCCATTATGTGAGGTCCATGAAGGGAAGTTCATTACTGGGGCCTTCTGTTAACAACGCGTGAGGCTGGATTTCCAATATGCCATCACTGTTGTCACAGATTATTTTTGCGAGGGAAGTAGCTTGAATTTCCCACACTTGAGCAGCACTGAATCCTGCGGAACCACCAATGTTTTGATACCAAAAACGGTCACCCAACCTCAGTTTCCTGAAACAACACAATTTAATTTCCCACAGTCCTTCGAAAGTAGCAAATAGGAACTTCAAAGGGAAATTTAAAAGAGATTATGGCTCTGTCAATTCCAAGCCCGCCCACCCTCCCCCCGGGCATTTGACGGGTATTTGAAAGGTTGTAGGTCTCCACCATGCGTGGGGCATCCGCACGCAAAGGGCCACGCAGGCCCCGGGGGTTGGCGCATCTGACAGTTTAGTCAAATACGAAGAATTATAAATCGGTATTTTTTAAAAACGAAAGCCTGCTTTATTAAACATCGAAAGGATTAACCCTACGTAAAGAACATAAATGCAAATTTAACAAATTGACGTCAGTTTTTCATGCGTCTGTTCTGTTATTGATCATAAATCTCGTCATAACTTTGTCAAAGTAGCTGTGGATCCGCAGACTAATTTGACAATGTTATGACGAAATTCATTGTCAAAAACAGGACAGACGCATAAAAAACTGACGTCAGTTTGTTTTCTGCAAGAACAAATTGTCATATTGTCCGCTCTCGCTCGTTGACGCATCGTACAAATTATAAATTCATATGTCTGTCCGCATATTGACAATAAAATTTAGCCAGCGCGCGAGAATTTCGGCAGTTATTGTTAAGTCTTTTTTAGAAACTAGCTTATGCCCCACCACCACCCCCCAAAATTCATGTTGTTCTTCCACGTGCGAGAGAATATAATTTTGACGCTATCCCATGGGTGGGGCATTTGTAGTTTTCTCAGGGTGTTTGACATTTTGTATTCAGAAGTTGGCAAATGCCTCACCGTGGAGCAGCTGGCACGTACAAAATCCCCATTGCGTCAAAGGCCTAGGAGTGAGTGAGGAGATGAGCGGGCTTGGAATTGACTTATCTATTATATCGTAAAGAGATCCGAATCGATTTATCGTCACGACAAAATGTTCTTTAGCGAGAAGAACCAGAACAGCTACAGCAATGGTAACACGAGGACTTACTTGAGTCCTTCAGCTAAAATATGAGAGAATGTTGGTCCAACATTTGCGCCATCTTCGGGTTTTTCTAAGAGTCTACCGACGTATAAATCGACATCTCTGACGTTAGCGTGCAAATTTAGCAGCTCTGTCATTACATCTGCTGGAATGCTATCATTGCTTACGCCGAAAAAATCTCTGAACCTTACATACGGAGGAAGCCCGTGGTCTCTGCCTCGCTGGATATTTATAGCTACGAGATCATCGACTACTCCAGGTGCAGGAATTAACTTTTTCGTCACCGACCAAGAAAAGTACCTTGAAAATAACACAGCCATAGGGAAATCAGCAGCTGATCACATTCAGCCTTTAAATATCGCTTAAAGCATTCTTTTCAATAAACTTAACCCCAAGTATCTCAGTAATTTACTCTCTCAACTAGTTAAAGAACTACTTGAAAAAAGGTTTTCACTATTCGCTCGGCTTTAGAATAGTTACTGAAGGAAACTGGAGCTTGTTATCCTTCCCTAATTTTCAACTATCGTCTCTTTTTCTTTGGTATTCTCAGGATTGGACTGGAACTAGCTTGCAATGAAGGCTCGTACCGAGGAGTATCATTAGAATGAGATTAATGTCATTCCCCGCATTAGTCTCAGCTGCAAGCTAGTTCCAGTGCAATACCGAGAATACGAACATGGTCTATTTAACCACGGTAAAATCTATCAGTTTCAAAGAACAATTTATAAATAACTAATCTATACTCAACATAATGTAAAATATTTAGCTAAAAAGCCGCTTTCCACGAATGCCGTGCGTTACTGTTCTTCTTTGAATAGACTTTTGAATTGCCCGAGGGACCCTGCTTCCCTTACGTTCCAAGGAAGACTGTTCCAAAGAATGGCGCCAGTGTAGCTAAAGCTATCTAGCGAACCTTGTTTAACGTACTGCAAAACACACGTGTGAATCAAGCCCTTTTAAATAACGGCATAAAGTTCACCTGTCAATCTTCCTGGCAGATTGCTCAATTAAGCCCCTTAAAGTTCCGTCAACTCCGCCGCTTTGTAAATCGTATAATGGAGTCGGGTTATGAAAGTCGCTGATAGGAACATCAAAGTGACCGGGCCGTATGTATACGTTGTCAACAGTACTGTGTCCGAATCTCAGAACAGCTGCTTTAAAACTGTTTGCAATGGTAGGATCAACTGATGAATTGTAGCCGCAATAGCTCTCGATTTTTAGGTCATATTTCTTTAGCTGTCAAAAACAAGGGCAACTGCAATTAACAAGATCTGTCACCAAGGTAGCCATGACTAGAACAATATTAGGCAAAATCTTAAATGTTCCGACTGTTTATTTGCATTGTTTAGATGGATGTTCCCCGATAGCAGAAATCAACGGTGAATTACAGTGAATCCGCGAATTTGATTAGACGTTTCTGCTATCATTTTCTCCTGGTGAAATTGAACTAGATCCGATCTGCCTCGATGACCGTTTTCTTCTAGAAAACAAAGTGGGTTTTTAGAAAATTCGTGGATTCATCGAAAACTCTGGCGAACACAGGCTCGATTTCCGCCGCTCTCTCAGGTCCGATTCCCGAGGGTCCTCCCCGACAAGAACGGAACGCGGGCTCCTGTCCCGAACAGCGGCTGGTAATGGAGCCCATGGCACTCAGGAAATTCGTGTAGCACATAATCATATCTAGAAACGCTTCGGTCTTGATACGGTAATAGAGCAGTGCAAAAGAGCCAATCATAACACTTATTTATGGCTCCTGGTTTAACTTTTAATTGCTAAGCTGGAGGAGAAGTTGTGCCTTTGAACGAACTAAAGAATTGCTGAAACGAATATCGCTGGCAATGCGCAGTCGCGTCGACGGAGTCATTCTCCTTTTGTTTTCCTCGTCAAAGCCCGCATAGATATATATTTTTTTATCGTGCATAGATACGTGGTGTAAAAATCTCCTACATGTACCATCATGGATGCTTGTCTAACATCAAATCGCTTTGGCCGAATGTCGAGCGATTTGATTTCGGGACTTCGTGGGATCTTCGTTCGCTGGAGCACGTGAGTTTAACACTTGTGGCAACGCCACGGCTCCATCTCCCGTTTTCCCGCGCGAAAGGCAACATAATGTGATG